CAGACTAATGTCGAGGTAAGAGTCAGTGGCTGGGTGCTTTGCTTTTCTGGTCTTTAGGTTGGACCCCAATATCTGTCTTTGAGTTTTTATTAATCATGCTTCAAGAAAGGAGTTACTGTTGCACAAATTCTAAGTGGTTTTCTACAGAATCCTCAGACCAAAGTGGGCAATATCCCGTCTCTCTGAATCCTCAGACCGAAAGCTCTGAGCTCCTGTCTCCTCTCACCTTATATTTCTCTCTCTGCCCAGCCATAGCCCTTCCTGCCTCCATCTCCCTAATGTTGGGATTAAGGTGTGTGACTCCCAAGTACTGGGATTAAGGTGTTAGCCACTAGTGCCTGGCTCTGTTTCTCTGAGACTGGATCAGGATCAGTGTAGTATAACTCAGGGTGGCCTTGAATTCATAGAGATCCCTCAACCTCTGCCTCCCAAATCCTGGGATTAAAGGTGTGAGCCACTAGTGCCTGGCTCTGTTTCTCTTTGAGACTGAATCAGGATCAGTGTAGTATAACCCAGGGTGGCCTTGAATTCATAGAGATCCTCTACCTCTGCCTCCCAAGTGTTGGGATTAAAGGTGTGTGCCACCACTGTCTGCCCTCTATGGCTAACCGGGGGATTAGCTCCACACCCTGATATTCAGGTAAGCTCTATTTGTTAGATCACAAACAAAATATCACCACAAATTACTAATTTTTATGTGTGTGTGTGTTGTAAAAAGAAAAGAGAGAGAAGAGAGAGGCCTTCAAGAAGCAGAATAATTCACTAGCTGCTAAGTATTATTGCTAAGTGCAAAGGTATCATATATAATGTAATATACTTTAAATTTGAACATTATATATTTTAAAGTATTTTAAGCCATATTTTTTTAAATTCAGTGTGTGTGTGTGTGTGTGTGTGTGTGCGCGCGCGCGCACATGTGTGTGTAAGTGGGCAAATGCTTGGTCCACATATGAAATTTGGAAAGCATCTTGTGGCATGGGTTCTCTCCTTTCTTCCATGTTGTGGCTTTCAGAGTATGAACTAAGTTCATCAGACTAACAGGCAGGTGCCTTACCCCTTGAGCCATCTCTCAGGTCTTAGACCTTTTTACTCAACAGAAGCAGCTGTAGTCGTTATGGCCCCCAGCAGTGCACAAGATGGAGGAAGGACCTTTCATTGCCTAACACTTTGCAAGATGTACTTTCATGATGCCACATATATGCCAACAAAAATTCCACTGGAAAAAAATTTTAAATGTATTCATTGCACACAGTTCAGGGTTCTGGTAGTCCCCAGACACCTAGGAGCCTAAGGCAAGAGGATTTTTTTTTCTAGGAATTGTAGGCTAACCTGACTCCAATTAAATTAAAAGACTGTACTAGAAAAATGGAACTAAACCTAAAGAATGAGGAAGTTGTTAAACTTAAAATGCACAACATATAGTATCTCTTCACCAATGCATAATTCGTAGATTTCAATATGCAAAAAGAAAATCTAGAAAATCAATCGACTCTTCGCAGTAAGAGATGTGCCACAAATGCCAGTGCATGAATTCCCTGTTTTGTTCAAAGATTTACATTACTGTCAAGTTTCAAACAGATCAGAAACTTGGACAGTGTGTGTGGGGGGGGCTTGCATGCATGTGTGTGTCTGTAGAAAAGTCTTCATTGGATTGGCATTGTAGCATGATCAATAAAAATCCAGAGACAGATACTGGGGTCCAACCTGAAGGTCAGAAAAGCAAAGAGAGACAGTCACCAGCTCTTACCTCTATGTCAGTCCATATGGCAACCCTGCCTCCTTCTGCTACTTGGTGTCTAGCTGAAGTGCTGAGCTCCTTGCTGATCCCTGATGCTCATGATTTAAATTGTGAGAACACATAGTGGCAACAGTAACTACCCTTGCTGAGCTGAAGTGAGAACTTTGTGATAATCATGCCAGGCAGGATTCAGGCAGACCACGATGCTATCTGATCTACTGCTGCCAGATGCAAGGGCAGTTCATGTAGGAGTGTCCATAGATGGATAGGTGTTGTGGGAGGGAGAGCAGGAGAGTGCTTTAGACAGCTTAGCATTGTTGCCCAGGTGAAGCATTTTTCTTTGTTAAGTGAAATTTGTGTTTATATTCTGGCCAGTTTTATACTACAAGAATATCCTGAGATGTGGGAACAAGTCACTGAAGGAGAAGAAGCCACTGGAAGTAACACGACAAAGTGAGCTCTTGTCATCTTCCACTCTGCCTTCCACCCTCCCAAAGTAATGCATGGTTTTCCTATTGGCAGTAAGACATATGACAGACCACAGATGCCTGCGAGAATCCATGAATGTTGTCATTAGGATGTACGGCCAAGTAGACCTCAGACACTACAATCTCAGAGTGTGCCTGTTCATCTTTAATGGAGGATAAAATAAACAGATCCAGCAAGTGCCCGAGGTAGGAAGCTACTGTGCTGTGTGATTTCCATGTGTTTTCTTGTTTGATACTTAGTGGGGCATGCAAAGGTTCTTTTTTTTTTTTTTTTTCGAGACAGGGTTTCTCTGTGGCTTTGGAGCCTGTCCTGGCACTAGCTCTGTAGACCAGGCTGGTCTCGAACTCACAGAGATCCGCCTGCCTCTGCCTCTCGAGTGCTGGGATTAAAGGCGTGTGCCACCATCGCCCGGCATCATGCAAAGGTTCTTGAATTCCCCCTCCATGAATAGCATAGCAACATTCCAGAGACTAGAACTTGGCTTGAAGTTCTGGATCTACCATTTATTAATCTAGGGGCTTGAGGAAGGTTGCTTCATAATTTTCTTGTTTAATTTCCTCACTCCTTCATGTGATTGATACTAGTATCTACTAAAATTGTTTCTATGAGAAACAAATTAAATAATTACTGCATTTATTACACAGACACTTCTTAATTCTATGCAGTCTCATTAGTCAATTATTATTATCATTATTATTGTGGGAGGGCACATGTGCCACAATTCACATGCTCACATGGAAAGCAAACAACTTCAATGGCACAATAAAGTTCCTACTAGATACCGTGGCTACTAAATAAAAACCAGAGACCAGAAAAAGTTAACTTTTTTTGGAGTTGTTGGCGATGGAGATTTTTAAAAACACCCAGTTACAGGATATTGCCAATATTCTTTCTTGCCCTCCAAGAGCCAGAGGTGGTAGATGATTGTAGGGACACAGTGTTTTCCAGACACACCAGGGAAGTCACAGCAGTTTTGACAGCACATACAGAACTACACACACTAGGTGTAGACAAAATCTCAACAATGAGGGGGTGCAGACACAAATACTGCCCCACCTCTAGTTGATAAGTCATGGCTAATTGGCAGATTTGGGGAGAGAAATTCAGCTCTCCAATTTTATAATAAAAGCATTTAAAATTGCAAACAATTCTTTTAGAATGTGTTTTTAATTTTTTTGCATATTTCAAAATGCATGTATTTTTTCTGTGTTTGTCATGAATATGTTATGGCATCTGTATGGATGTCAAAGGAGAAATTGTGGGTGTCAATTCTCCCCTACCACCATGAAAGTCCTGGGGACTGAATTCAGGTTGTCAAGCACGGCAGTCCGTGCCTTTACCCACAGAGCCAACTAGTCATCCTAGACCTGTTTTTGATGTACCTCAAAGGTGGTGATAGTGCATGCTTTCATTTTAAACTTGAGTCTATGAAAATTAATGTTCTCCCATGCTTCTTTTTCAATGAGTCTCTGAGGTTTTTTTTCTATATTCATGCAACTGTGTAGTTTCTGTAGTTTTTCTTGCTATGGGTTTCTAACTGTAGACTGCTATGATGTAATAGGATAAAAGATACCATTTCAATTCTTTTATATTGGGGGGTAACTCATGTGACCTGTTTTAGAGGATGCTCCGTGTGCTGCAGAAGAAAATGTGTACTCCACAGCACTAGGGTGCAATGTTCTGTAACAGTTTGCCAAGCCCATTTGAAACATGATGCATTTTAGTTCTGAATTTTTTTTCCTGGTTTGTTGCTATTTTTGGTTTATTTTGTTTTTAGAATTTGCAGTCTACTTAGAGATGAGTTGGGGTCTCATGGCATTGAGATCATAGGTACCTTCAAAAGAAGAGTGAGCATTGAAGTTACCAAGTATTATGCACTAGAATCTGTCTGTCCTTTTTGTGGTCATGGGTCAGTTGCTCAAAGGTATTAGTCATTTCAGGAGATTCTTTTCTTCACATACTAGGAAGTGGTGCAGATAACTTCATTCAGTGGTAGTTTTCCAGTCAGGTTAACCCTAGCTCCAGAAACTCCTCAATTTTCACAACTTGGATGACTAATGTCTAAATGAGGTATTGTCTCCTGAGCATTTGGGGGTGTCGGGGCAACAGGAGGGCACTGAAATCTGCTACAGGAGGATCCCTCTCAATGTTTCCTAATCCTGCTCAGTGCTGAATAGTCTGCAGAATGGATGAGCTGTCATGAATGTCCCAGAAACATTTATTCTAAAATTATAGCAGATATGTGGAAGTTGTGTTACAGGTAGATAATACTTGAACACTTCTCATTTCTGCTTTCTATTTTCTGAAGGATAACACTGACTAAAGGCTTTAAAGTAAGCACATGAAAAAGTAATAATATAAAAGAGGATTGAGCCAGGCAGTGGTGGCGCACGCCTTCAATCCCAGCACTCGGAAGGCAGAGGTAGGCGGATCTCTGTGAGTTCGAGGCCAGCCCGGACTACAAGAGCTAGTTCCAGTACAGGCACCAAAGCTATAGAGAAACCCAGTCTCAAAAAATAAAAATAAAAAATAAAATAAAAATAAAAAAGATTGTCAATGCAGCAGACAGGATCTGTCCACAAGGTGGCAGGGCATCTTCACTGCTGCAGACCTACAAAGGGATTTTTTGGTTGACTTCTGAAAGAGCAGCTGTAGTCAGCAGCCATCTGTGCACACAACTGAGGAACCTGCAGTGAGGTGGAGGCTGCAGAGGAGGGGAGCTGAACATAGAAGCATCTTGCCTGGCTGAAGTCCACTCTCCCCAAGGAGAGCAATGAAGACGCTGACTGGACCTTTTGTCCTGTGCTTGTGGCTGCGGCTGAACTGTGAGTGAGAGCTTTGGGGAAACAAGGCATTTGGCAATGTTCATTATCAGTCTGAGGAGCAGACTGGTTCCTCCAGGGTTCCTGAAATCACCATGGGAAGAAAAGCAAAGTCTGGGGAATGGTGTCCTGATGGTCTTCCTGATGTTTCCTCTTGCACAGGTGTGAGCAGAGGAGAGAAGCTGGAGCAGCCTTCTCTCCTGAGTGTCCAGGAGGGAGGCAGTGCCGTTATCAACTGCACCTACACAGACAGTGCAAATTATTACTTCTACTGGTACAAGCAAGAGCCTGGGGCAGGTCTCAAGTTCCTTATGAATGTTCTTTCAAATGTGGACAGGAAAGAAGAACAAGGACTTACTGTCTTACTGAATAAGGAGGACAAACGTCTCTCCATGAACATCACAGCTGCCCATCCTGGGGACTCAGCCACATACTTCTGTGCAGCAAGTGCACAGTGCTCCCCAGGCACCTGCTGCCTGTACACAAACCTGAGCCCACAAAGACAGACAGTTTTCCACCTTTTATATGAAAATATTTCAGAATTATATTAATAGTGGGACATTTTTAAGCATCCTGAAATTCTGTTTCCAAAAGATACAATGAGTGTCAGAATATTTTGTATTAACACCAGACGAAAGTGTATTCTTAGGTGTGGAGGCTCTAAAATCAACTTTCAGGTTAGGAATTCAGTGTCATTAGCAGAGATTACTCTACTCATTTTGATGGAAAGGCTCTTAACTTTTAATAACTATTTATTGTTTCTTATTAGAAAATAGTAGACAAAAATCTAAAATATTAAATGGAAAACTTAATCCTCTAATCCTAACATACAAATAAATCATTGCTTGTGTGTGTGTGTGTGTGTGTGTGTGTGTGTGTGTGTTTATAAAAACAGCATATATCACATTAGGTTCAGCCATCCACTAGGAGTTTGGGGACACACCACCTGCTGACAGTGTCTACCTTAGAATTAAAGCCGATGATAGAGGAGGCTTTGGTGCAGTTTGCATGGAAACCACCAGAGGTCAGCACTGTCCGAGATGTGGTTTCACTTGCCTTGGGGGCATCTTAGTTGAACACGCCCATTTCCTCTTTAGTCACACACACACACACAAGACTCCTGTTTTACAGAGCTTTAGCCTGTGAGAGAACAGTTTCTAGAAAATCTTTCTGGAGCCCAGCCCTGTAAAATAGGGTGTACTGCAAGAAGCAAGAATCATTTCTTTTTATCAGCATGTTTTCTGTCATCTGTTTCAATATCGTGATCCTCTTGATGTTTAGTAAGTAACACCGTCTTATAAGTATTAATGACTGTCCATTTTTCCTAAAGTTAAAATGACTTCATCCATCTTACCCTATAACAAAGCAATCTTCTTTCTTTCTAGAGAAGAGTAATGCAGAGTCCGTAACTCGGACAAAACATCCAGTGACTCTCACAGTGGGGGAATCTCTGATCCTGAGCTGCACCTATCAGACTCCTTATTTAGATCCTCTGCTTTTCTGGTACGTGCAATATCTCAACAAAGCCCCTCGGCTACTTCTGAAGAGCTCCACAAACAACAAGAGGACAGAGCATCAAGGGTTCCACGCCACTCTCCATAGGAGCAGCAGCTCCTTCCACCTGCAGAAGTCCTCGGTGCAGCTGTGGGACTCTGCCCTGTACTACTGTGCTGTGAGTGACACAGGGAGGGAGACTGCAGGGGAAGCTGCACACAAACCAAGAGGGCAAGAGGGCTGAGAGGAGCGGCCCTGTGAAGGAGAGCTGTGGGTCTTCTCTCGGTAGTGTTGCCTTAGCTTTAACAAGAACAGAAACAAATCATAGGCACCTGGAAGATCATGAATTAAATTATTCTGAAGCACCGTACGATGGAACCCAGTGTTTGATAGATCGATCAAACTCAGTGCTCATCCAGAAAGGCTCATCAGCCCTTCAGAGTGCAGGAAGTCTCACAGCAAACACGTCCAGGGAAACCCTAATTACAGTTATTCATCATCTAGATACATTACAAAACTAGATTTTTAAAATCCTCATGGATTTTGTGTTTCTCTCTCACACAATTAGGACCCAAGTAAAGATATACAATATTTTATCTATCAATCTACTCCAGCCTTCACAACTGAGGCTCTTCTTGGCTTGTGTTGAAGAGTTCAACCTAACTCCCACCAACCTTCACTTCATAAGGCTGCTTAAGAGGCTGAGATTTGAGAAGACTCCGGTGAGATCCTGAGAGTCACTCCTTCCATGTCCTCAGTACATACTGCATGAGGATGCAATCCCAGTTGGGAAATGCCACTTCTTCTACGTCCTTCCTCTTCACGGCAAGTCTCCCATTCTGCCATCTGACCTTGAACCCGAGGGTGTATCTGCTGCCACGTGTCACATTGAGTTATACTTGGGTGGTCTGATAATTCTGAATAAGGAAGAAAGACCAGGATGTTGATCAAGCCCAGGTTTAAACAAAGCATTAAGCTAAAATATATCAACATTCTATATTTTCTCTACTATATGAGAAAGATAGTGTGAGGAGAAGGATGCCTCTCATAAGAGAAAAAGTTTGTGTGCATGTACACAGGGAAGTAAGAGAAACATGGTCTTATGATGGGGGAGCCAAATGGAACAACAAAACCTATTTCTGAGTCAACAATAAATATTAGCTTGTGTTCTTATCATTGACCTCCTGAGTTTAGCTGAGTGATGCATTAAGGATCCCACTGAGATCAGAATGAATACATAGATTGACCCTCAACCTTTCTTCCTTTGCAGGTTATTTTGGGTTCCATTCTTTCCCCACAAATCTGTGCTTCCTCCTTAACTGTGCTTCCCTGCACTACAGTTATTCAACCCCAGTGAACTGCATCATCCAGGTTCATTCTTTTCATAATCTTACTGGAGCCAGGCTCTGCAGAAAAACTGGAGAGACCAGTAGACCAGGATGTAAAGTGAGCGTTTCTTCTGCATGTTCAGCTCTGGTGGTCCTGATGTTGGTGACGTCCTTCTTGACTACAGACTATGTGAGGAAACTTTCGCAGCCCCAGCACCCCATCTTATCTTCACCTCTTACTCCCTCTGACTGAATGGTGTGATGGTCTTCTGTGATTATTAGACAGTGCCTGCATGGTCTGTCACCATTTGCTGAGACCCTGGATCCTACTCCCTGCCCTCTCCATAACCCCACCTCCTAATGTTCTTCTATCCCCGTGTGAGCATGCCTGCTCTGCTCAGAACTACATCAGGAACTGGAGGTGAAGGTGAGTCCTGCTGTAGCTCACACAGGGTCTCTCAGCATTTTGTTTCTGTAAACCACATGTCACACATATACAAAGACTGTTGTACTTGATTTGCCTTCTGCTATGGTCCTGACTCTTAACCTCCTCACTCACTGGCCCATAGAATGTCTTCTACTGTGATTAAAAGTTTTAATGCTGTGCAATTCTATGATTCCTTTCTTGTCCACATCTACTCTGCAGTTTTCAAGGACTTTCATAAGCTGCATCCCAGAACAGCTGTGTATCTAGATAAGGCTGTCTTCTCTTTCATAGGCTGCATCCCATACAGCTGTGTGTCTAGATAAGGCTGTCTTCTCTTTCACAAGCTGCATCCCAAACAGATGTGTGTTTAGATAAGGCTGTCTTCTCTTTCACAAGCTGCATCCCAAACAGATGTGTGTCTAGATAAGGCTGTCTTCACTTTCATAGTTTGTGTCCCAAACAGCTGTGTGTCTAGATAAGGCTGTCTTCTCTTTCTTATCATTTTCTTCTGTAATGACAAATTCTATTCTCATTTGAGAATTACAAAAAATGGATTATTATCATATTATTCATTTATTTAGTTTGTTTTCTTAAAGGAAGTAGATATTTCAATGCCATTTTTCCAGTGTTACATTTATATGCATTTACTATGTAGAAATACATATATATTGGACCAATGTATATATTGTTAATATTGATTTAGATACATTTACAACAAAATATAAAATTCTAAAATAACATATAAACTTTAGAGTCTATCAGAGTATATTATTAGAATATTCATGCACCTATATAAGAACACATACATATGTATTCTCCTC